TGCAGCCACACAGCCCTTTGAGGACAGAGTTGAATACTTGTGGCCTACTCTTTATGAAAAGCAGGTTGCATTAGTTTGTTCAATCTTTGTCTAAACCACGACTGACCTGTTCCCAGAGGCTCCTTCTCGTGAGACAGAGAGATCTTGATTCCAAGCTGAAAAACAAAAACATCCCGCTTCATTTAATTCCAACTCTTCCCAGTTTTTGCCGTAGTTTTCAACATAAACTTGTTGGTTGCCCTCACCCTCTTCTCCTGGATCCTCATCTCTCGCTCCAGCAGCTCTGACATGTAGCTCACGGCCAAAATAACATGGTCCACGCCAGCCTGAAATAATATCAGAGTTTCCATAAAAGAAGAAGTGTTTCCTTCTTCTGAATGGACTTTTTTACTATGAAGCATTAACAAACATAACTTATTACTTCAGGGGTGTCCAAACTTTTTAGTAAGAGGGCCTATTTAGTTCACCAGACTAGTCCAGGAGCAGTCATCACGGACTGAAAAACTTTCTTGACTGGCATCGGGCTGTTCTGAGCTTTAAAATGATCTATAACAGAGCTGAAGTTGGCTGAATGACAAATGTTTACCATCGTATCTCACCAGCTACAGTAGCACCATTAATGGAAAAACCACGTCAGTGTGTACAAAGTATGTACAAATAAAGTCAACAGCTGATTTCCAGACGTACTGGGCTTTAGAATGAGTTACGACATGTCTATGTTGGCTGAGCTGAAGTTGGATGGATGACACAGTGAACTTGTGGTTATGATCTCTATGACTACTGTGGGTTGACAAGGCAGAGGGCCACTAAAAATGACTCTGAGGGCCGCAATTAGCCCCGGGGCCTGAGTTTGGACATGCCTGTATTCCGTAAAGAGCAAACACAGACTGTAGACTTAGACTCCAGTAGACGGGGGCTGGAGTGCTTCTTGGATGTCAAAATGAAAACACAAAATAAAGGATAACTTATGGTGCTCTTCAGTGGTGGGACCAGAGTTCAGACAGAAGACTGAGGCACTCTTTAAAAGCCTTTATGACACATTGCAAAAGAGGTTAAAGCGTTTCAGCCTTCTGGCCTTCTTCAGGGCACACTATGGCCAGAAGATGTAATGAAGGTTTTTAAGACATGTCGTGATGAGAGCAAAACAACTGGAGGATAGTTTTATCAGTTTGGTCTCTAGCTTTCTGTAATTTTCCTTAAAGATTTGATTTTCCACAGATAAGAAAAACAGTTTTTAGACCTTTTTTTTTTTAAATCAAACTCCTGGAAATGTGAAATATCAAAACATGATCCACCGTTTTTTCTTTCTCTTTAATTTCCACGTTATGGGATAAATCAGGACCCATTTAAATTCTCTAATATAATACAGTTTGAAAATACACAAACATGTTCCTGGAGATTATACATGTGTCCCAAATTGAGTTTTTTTGCATTCTTTCCGGTCCATGAATAATTTTTTGTGTGAAATTTACCTCCGGTGTAAAAAGGGAATTGTTAAACCCCAACAGTTGGTCATTCAGCAGTGAATCAGACCCAATCCCCAGACACCAGCTTCATCCTCCTTATATTTACTATAGAACATTTATGTGGACTTTGTTCTTTCACTGTGCAAAGATTTAATTATGTATCAAATCATCAGAGGCCAAAACTACAGAGTCTCAGCTTGACAAGTAGTCCAGTCACTTGTTATAACTCAAATCAGATTCTGTTTGCATTTGTACCGATTTGTTCCGCCGTTATGGAGAAGATAGCTCATAATGGTTTTGTTAAGATTGCTTTTATAAATTCTCTTCTGTTAGATATTGTGTGATTGTATTTTATTTGCATTTAGCTGAATTTGCCTTAATACAACCATTGAGAACAAGTGGAAAACACGTGATAATAATGCAATTGATGATTTTTATTCTGTGGTTAATAGTTTCGTTTCTTACTCAAACTCAGCCTGACTGATGATTTGGACAATATGGACCATCGACAATTTCTCTATTCCGGCTCTAAATAATCCTGTTTTTGGGTCTTTTCCCCGCGTTCTGACCTTGACCAAAGCCTCGACTTGATGCAGGAGTATGGGTTTGTTGCAGAACTCCACCAGAGGCTTCGGGACGCTCAGGGTGAGGGGCCGTAACCGGGTGCCATATCCACCAACCAGGATCAGGGCCTTCATCTTTCTCCTGCATCACAAGATAAAACAGATTAAACTTGACATACACAGCATTTGAGTCTCTTTACACCAGTGTTTCCCAAACAGGCGTATTGCACGAGGTATAATGATTACGAGGCAAAAACGTGCAAACATTGATAGAAAGAGTTATAATTGGGCTACTATGGCATGCTATACATTACTTTGATGCCAATTCTCTCAAGAATTCTGAACAACCATGTTATTCCAAACTGAAAACAAAATTAATAATAATGTGTCAAGTAAGGTAGGCAAAAACGAACCTCTCTTACTTTTAGTTCAGTAAAAGTATGTTCAGAAAAATCTAAAAAAGCAAAAATGTCAATATCTACTGAATGAAAATAAATAACTCTTTCTTCCCCTTATCAACAGGGGTGAGGGGTAATGCCACGTCACTGGTAACTGGGAAGCAAAAGGTTGGGACCCACTGCTTTACTCAAGTGCAGTCCAACTGGAAACAGTCAAAACATTTGTTGAGGGATGATCTTTGGCTGCTACATATTATTGCTCAACAGCTTTTGCCTCAGTGTCTGTGCTCTTGTGTCAGCTCTTTTTCTATAAAAACACTATTTTTTATGTTAGAATGTCATAAAACATTTGGCACAGTTGTCGCTCAAGTTAGTCTTCAATGACTACTACAAATTAAAGGTTCCAAGTGAAAACTAAAAGGGGGAAAAAATAAATTTCTCTGATTGAAAATAGATTGACTTCAGAGGAATTTCTTTTTTTTCAGGTCGGACTCGGAATTCTTTGTTAAACCAGAGAAACCAGTTAAACATGCAGCTTTAACATACACGTTTTGTCACCCAAAGCCTGAAGAAAAGATGTTCGTGAGTCAAAACATTGTCTCTATGATAGAAAATGGTCTTATTTTTTTGAGGAAGCGGTTTGATAAGCCCAGATCATATTTACAACCAGTGTTGCAATGAACAGTTCAAGAAGAGGAGGAAACATATCTGTAGAAGCTCTGAGTAGTGATTATAGTTGCAATGTAAATACCACAGAAGAGTAAAAATGTGATGTGTGCAGTATACGATGGATAATACAATACTAGTAAGTTACTGCTTCTACCCACCTGTGGTACAGTAAGAAGCTGCAGATTGCATATAAAGGTGCACTAATGAAATGCCCTCGTTGAACCAGTGCCCGCTCCCTGCTTGTTCACAATAATGGATCCACACTGAATCCTGTGGTCAGAAATGTACAAGTTCATGAAAAGGACTGAACTCTGGAGGCATTGGGGGAAGTGTCTATACAGAATTATATAAACATTGTTTGTATATTGTGGTTTGTCTCCTTTTCTTGTCTGTTTTTAATGTTGTATATGGACCTTGCATGTGTCTGAATTACATATGAATTCAATTATATACTATACATTACACGCAATTTGAGAAATAATGAAAACACCATCCAGTAACAATTCCAGACTACATTGCAAACAAAGAAGTGGACAGAGTACGTGTCTTTCTTTCACTCAGCTATCTTTTTACAGCATCATCTGACTTAACATCACGTGGTCGCCTGAAGTGAGTAATGCACCCTCCTTGAACATATTCCCAGAGTGAAGTACAGTCTGAACCAAAGCAGCTTCAGTGTTAGAGAAGTGAAGTGATTTCTCCCACTGCTTTGAACAGGTGCAGACTGCAGACATAGAATACAGCGAAGCCATTACAAAACACAAAAGTAGGACTGCACTTTGTTCCGTGAATTTCACAGTAGAAACTCCAAGATTAAAGATTATTACAGATAATAGATATTTGAATGAATGTGCGTCTAACTTTGGTGGTTCAGATAGTAACGTTAACTTCCCTGGGTTTCATGACAATTCTAGATAATTAACAGCAGAAACATTAGTCCTCACAAATATGAGTAGATATAAAGAGTCTTACTGTGGAAAAGCCTCTTGTGCGGGTGTTAATCCTGCGGTAAATGTATGAATCAGTGAATGACACGTCGAGCATCAAATCCAGGCGTTTGTTTGGCTTCCGGATCAGCGGCGGCGGCGTAATGACGTTTCACATCCGGGAAACTAAGCAAAACATGTAAAACGCAAATAATTCTCAAATAAAAACTTTTCGAATTTAGTTGTGTAATACAAATGCGCGAAATCAAAGTTGGAATATTTTACAGGTAATTCATTATGTTAAGTGACAGAATGTATACATTTTGTGTTTCCCCTTAGCAACAGTTGCTACCAAGCATACAAGAGCCGCGTCCTGTTCCGGAGTAATGACCAATCACAGCGCAACAGCGTGGCTACAGTCATTGGACCATACAGTCTGCGACAGAATGAATGAAGAAATATTCTTACAGAGCCAGCCAAAAAAGCATTGTAAAACTGAAAATGTGTTTGTGTGGTTTAATGTAATCATAGATACATGCAAAAAAAATTCTGTCTGTCAAACCCAGATTCATAAAACATACGTATCCCACCATTATTTTTTTCAGCCAAGCAGCTTGAATGTGACTCTTTGCTTACTCTTGTTTAATTTGCTGTAGTTATTGGCCAGTAGACACAAAAATAAATAAAACATACACTTATGTACAATAGATAGGGTAGAAGAAAAATAATTGCTTCACCAAAAACCAAAAGAATAAAAGCAGTGGATCAAAGGAGGAATAAAAAAGAACACACAAAATCATGGGCAAGTATGATCTATTATCATGAATAAAACAGAAGAAATTACATAGATTCAATAAGCAGATATTGTATATATTGATCACAGATCATTTTAATTCAAATTAAATTGGCACACTTAAAGGGCTCGATAAAGCCAAGCGTGACATATTTTAGTCTGAAAGTCTGTTATGTTTAAAGCTATTATAGTTTATTCTGCGGGCTCCAGAGCAGGTCACAGACTAAAGCGATGTGGTCAGACGGGTGAGAGACACTGGGCAGAGCTTCATATGTGGTCACCTCCTCATGAGACGGTAGCGGGATCACCTGCGCCACCTACAGGCCAACAAAAGCGTCAGTATTACTTACCTAAAGTATAATTTGATTTGAATACAAAAAAAGGACATTTTCTGTGCTTTTTTTGTATACAAATCAACTCAAAGCTTGTTTCCTGACCTCCATGTGGTCCGGCTGGATGTAGACGTAGTCCAAGCAGCCTTTGAATCCTCCCACATAGTTTGTGTATGGAGGGGTTCCACAGGCGCTGAGCAAAGGGGGAAACGGAGAGGCCAGGTCCATGGGGCAGTGATGGTCCGGACCAGAGCTGAGCCAGTCTGGGTGGGACTGGGCGATGGAGGAGTGCGTCAACAGCTCAAACACACCTGCAGAGGGAGGAGTAGAGAGTATTCAGAGGAGTAATCAGTCATAAGGAGTTTTTGACACAAGTCACATTACACCTTCCCATGTTTCACAGATGATACATGCTCACTGTGATCTTACTACTCTTCTAAATGATACTTGCACATATTATATGGGATCATTTTCTAGTAATTTTGCCACAAATGGTGAAAATAACTCAAGATCAATGCTTTGAAAGCTCCCTGTATACAAACTAATATTCCACTGCCATGTATGATAATGCAGAATAGACATTATCACTGTGACGAATGAAAGTTAGTCAGAATCTAAGCAGTAAATGTAAGTGAAAAGATTTATGCTTCATATGCTCCACCACCGTACGAAACATAAATAAATACAGGGAGTAACATTGAGACTGTACTAGGTCTCCAAGGTATTAGCAAAACATGTATTTATGCTTTTGATAAACTTTGTTATTACGATACAATTTCATGAGAAAAAAACAGTCCAATATTACCCACAAAATATTGGAGAATCCAATCTTTGAGTTAATTTCTCTTGTGGGTAAATCATACATACAATTGGCCTGTGTCCAAGTATAAGGAGGTAGCTACTATACTGACTGACGACTGGGTATTCTGTTGTCCCTAAAGCTGGGGTACCCAACCTTTTTCCCCATAAATAATCCATGTTGTTTTATAAAAGTAAAATGTGGACAAATCAGACCACAACCTCCTCTGAGAAAACCTGAGACACTCTTTTTACCTGAGTGTGGAGTGGAGTTGAAGTCTCCGCAGAAGACCAGAGCGGCTCCAGGTGAGACCGAGCCGATCACATGACCCAGGTGTGTAAGAGCCACGCCCATCTGCACCAGGCGCGTGTTCCCACCTGAAAACAGCACAATCGGGCACTGTTCAAACTGTTCATGAAGAAATGCCCAAATTAAAAAAATGAAATAAATGTATAAAAGCAAAAACACAGAACGCATGAAGGCAGAGCATTGAAATAGAAACACAAACAAAACCATTTTTCCCCCAGACGATGTACATGCAGTGTGGTATAAAAAGGCTTTTGCACCAGCCAGAAAGAGGAGGAACCACCCCCCTCTGCTGGTGGCAAATGGGAATTACAAATCTACGGCAAGACCCTCAAGATATTTTGCAGTAGATGTGGTCATTTAAAGATGCAGTCAGTAATTTTTTCCAGACGAATTTTTTTAAATATTGTGGGAAAACGTCCCTAAACCCTACAATTAGTCAAGTTATCAAGCTTTTTCAAATAGTAATGGAATTGACCAGATGTCTATAGTCTCCAAAGATTAATACAAAATATTTTGGAGCAGACTGATAAAATAAACCAATGGGATGTGTTTACCTCCTTCACCCTCTTCCTGTTTCTCCCGAGTGCGCACACCTGAGTTATCGGTTTTCTTAAAACCTTAAATGGCTGGACAGAAAATGCCAATTTCACGTTTGCCACCCACTGTCCCTGTTGTGACAAAGAAAAGAAAATGCTGGATGTTTGGTTTGGTGGAGAGGGAGGGGAGGGGGAGTGGTTTCCAGTTGGTGCTACGGCTAAGATAACAAAATCTCTTACTGCATCTTAAAGGGGGGCAACAGAGCTATTTTTTTCCCCCATTTCCAGATGTTAAACCCGGGTCTCAGCAGAAGAACAGGGATGGATGTGTGCGTGTTACCTGTCGGGTGCCAGTATAAGTGGGTGTTGGCCACGCAGAGGGAGCGCTCGGGCTGAACCAGGTCCTGGAGGACGGACACTTGCAGAGCCGTGGACCTCTTTAGGATTTTCTCCTTTAGGTCCGGCCTGGAACTCAGATTGTGGAGCAAGTCTGAGTGCAGCGGGTCTGAGCACAAAGCCTCGCTCAGAACCACATCGTGAGAACTCAGTAAGCGGAACCGAGACCTGCAAAGAGAGACGAGTCCATTTGACCCCCACATATGGTCCATTCTGCCATAGACTTGTATCAAAATCTAAAAGTATAAAAGCTCAACAGTCAACAGTTTTGTAAAGTCCTCTGAGATAACTACTGTTGTGATTTGGGGCAATACAAAAATAAATTGAATTGAAGTATAGACTGACCGAAATAATGTAGAATTCAGTAGCTAGCGAGAGAGTTATTATCCAGGTGATTTCAGCTCAAACAACTCACACAAATGTAAATATACAAATGTATGACATGACTCAAATCAAAGCTCTAAAAAGAATCCAGTTGGTAAGCAGCAGAGCATAATCTCTTCTCATATTTCACTCTTCTCTCAGATGTGTGCAAGAGAGTCTTTCTCATATCAACATATCAAAAACAGTCTTTAAAATGTAAGTAAAACCTTGCGTTGTGACAAGTTTACTTATATTATATGAAGAAATCCGATCAAACCTGCGATAGAACGTGGCCAGTCCTTCGTGCTGTTTCTCCTTGATTCTGAAAACTCCCTCAAATCCGAAGGCATCCATCGCAGGGATCAGACAGTCCTCAAAAACTCCTGAGGAAACACATACAATTATTTAAACCATGGTTGATCCACCTTCCACTGTTTAGATCATATAATTGTTTAAATGCAGACAAATTGACCGCGTTGATAATACATTTTCTGTTATATGCATTTGCACTTGACTCTATTGGTCATATTGTTTTGCTCAAGGATACACTTTTCTGTCAATAAAAAGCAGAGGAATATCCACCACATTCAGGGGAGATGGACAAAGTTTAAGGCTATACTTTTGCATTATTTCCTTAAAAAGAAATCTTAAAAACATAGATGTTGGCTACATAAAACATAAAGGGACATTAACTAAATTATATGCGATTCTTATCTGAATTATTTTTTAAAAGGGGAGATAACATGTAAAAATCAGCTTTTTACAGCTTTGGGCCTCGCTATTTTTGCGTGTTTGAGTAATATATATTGTTGATTCAGATTAAGATTCCTCACCCTTGTCAACCTCCTGGAGGCAGATGAGGTCGGCGTTGTACCCGGCCAGCTCCTTCCTGATCAGGTTGATCCTGTAGTCCAACTCCAGGGCGTAGGGGGCGCAGTACGGGTACAGGACGGTTTTAGAGAGTTCAGTCTGAGCGTAAACATCGGCTAAAATGTTATAGGACACGACTCTGAGCTCCGGCCACTGCGTCTGTGTCCCCGTGAACAGATGTCTGCAGGAAGAGAGCACAAACTATGATGTCAAAATAGAAAATATTAATGCTTTAAAAATTGTGGTAAAGAAAACTATGTACTGAGCCGGATTATGCAATATCAATAACATTGTCAAAAACATTACATCTAATCCACACTGATGGATATACATTGTCCCAAATTTAATAACAAAACATAATTATAGAGTAAGGAAGTGAACCTCACGCATTGTTTTCACGACCACATTCACTCTGGGCTCTGAAAGTTGTGAAAGTTGCTTATAAACATAGTGTCTGTAGTCTCAGTCTCAGTCACACTCATTCACCCTGAACTATCGCACGCGTTTTTAGTGGTAGGAGAAACCCTGAGGAAACCTACGCAGACATGGGGAGAACATGCAAACTCCACACAGAAATGCCTTGTCTGGAGTTGGATCTAAGCCGCCCCAATGTTCGCACTGAGTTATGGAAAACGTGCTTCAGCTCGGGAGAGGAGAAACCACAGAGAAAACAGTTCCTTTTGGTGGTTTCACGTCTCCAGAAAAGGATTTTGCACAAATTGGTTAGCTTAAAGTGAAGCTGACCATCTCTCTCTCACTGTAAGATTTACTCCAGTCCTTATGAGATTGATATGTGCTAATATCAATCACTTTTCACGGTACAAATAAAGAATGTCTCACTGGCGTCTGGCGTTGACCCAGAACACAGATAGCATCAGTCTCCATCATCCAAAGGGAATTGTGTTTCAGCCTGCATCAGCTTGTTCAAACTTAATACACCCAGGATTTTGAATGTTCTTTTTAGTTTGTGAGGCTCATACCGGGTGTCAAAGGTGCAGGTCCCTGGTCCGGCCTCGATAGCGCCCTCTGACTGCAGCTCTTTGACCAAACCACTTTTCTCTCTGTCTTTGGGGGAACAGCGCAGTTGGAGTCTGCTCCCGATGTCTTCATTCGAGGGGACGAAAACCCGACCAGAACCCACCTCCTGCCACGTCTCTCCTGAACCTGCACTGAAGAACGAGAAAAAGATTTAGACAATTTTGTATTAATATAATGTGATTTTGTTATACACTAAAAAATACTTTGGATTTAGCCTGTAATATATCAATAAGTAATAAATCTAACTGCAGAAGCTAATCAGCTCTCAGCCCAAACAGAATTGTCTAAATAATAAAAACATTATCATTATTATTATTATTATTATGAATATATTTTCTCAATAAGCTTGTAGAACTAGTTGGTAAATCATGAAGGGTTTCCAGCTTCCCTCTTCTTTAAGGTTAATCTAATTCAAATACTGAACAGAGTTTTCTTTCATTTTCTGACATTACTTTGCTGACCAATCGCCGATGTCAAGCCCAATATTTTTTTCTAATAAAAATAGAAAACAAAAAAAGGTAAACAATTGCACGTAGCTTCACACATTTGTCATCAACAGTGAAACAAACCAATTATAATATACTATATCATGAATTGGTGTAATTTCAAACCAAAGGTAAAAAACAAAAATAATTGCAGCTACAACAACCACTTAGATTTCTGAAGTACCTGGTTTCCTTGAGCCAGGTGAACTCGCAGTCGTCCATGTTCCCAAACTCCAGCTGTAGTTTGGGGCAGACGGGGAAGCCGGCCATGAGCGACCGGGGCAGCTCTGCGGAGGTGAAGGTGGGAGCGTTCCTCAGCACCGCGTACCGGACGCCCCCCACGCACAGCACGGCTCCATCCCTCCAGGCCTCGCGGTTCAACACGGACTCCTCCACCGGAGTCTCGTCCAGCAGCAGCCGCACCTCTGTGGCCGAGGACTGTGCGCCGTCACTGGGCTCATCACACTTCTTCTTCTTCTTCTTACCTGAGGATTAAGAAAGGGGTGATGAAAACAAATCCAATGATCTGACTTTGAAAATGTTGACAATATTTGACTGGATGATGTGTGTGTCCCAGCATTGTAGTAGATATCCATTTAACTCATTGACTGCCAGCTGTTTTGGATGATTTCACAGATTTTCAAGACCCGCAGAATATTGTGTGCTATGGCTATGTGAAATATGAAACCAGATTCTGAATGACTGGACTGTCTACTTTCATCAGCAAGAGTAAGTTTGCTTCTGGCTAGTTTTGTTCTCCTTTTAATCCTGTTGAATAGAGGGAAGTTTGACAGAAATCACTGGTGTCAGACAAATACATTAATGGCAGTCAATTTAACAGGAGTCTATTCTATACTAAATTAAATTATACTTACTTACTTACTACAGTGTAAGGAGGTTGGTCAGCGTGAAATACAACTGTACGCAAAAGCAGAATAATAATGTGAACATGTATTGAAAGTGAAACTGTGAAAATAACTTGTGTTTGCTCTGAAATGAAAGTAAAACATGACGTCAAAAGCAATGCCCAGCAATATGTCCACTGTATACTGGCATTAGAACCATTATCACTTAACGCTACGCATACAACACATCTGTATTCATAAAGTGAAAGTATGATTTTCATTGTACTTCTGCAGAATCTATTCAGAAAGTTATACAATATATATATATATATATATATATATATATATATATATATATATATACATATATATATATATATATATATATATTATATAGATTGTATATAGGAATTTTAGGAAAGCCTTCTCCACATTTTGAACAAAACTCTCTGGTCTTATTTGACGAGCACAATCGGGAGGACCAATAGTCTTGATGGTCCACCTGGAAGTAGAAAATCCTCCTAGATACCTTTAATATTAATTAAAAAATGTCTGCAATCAAGCTGCCCAAACAAGAGGACACAAATAAGTAAGTAAGTAAGTAATCTTTATTTATATACCGCCTTTCACAGACCAGAGTCACAAAGCGGTTTACATTTGTTATTTTTGGGCATTAGTGTCTCTCTCCACACAGAGACAGGAGCGGGGTCGCCGAACAGGAGGCGCATGCCAGACCTATTGTACATATTTTTAGTGGTAGGGGAAACTGGAGTACCCGGAGGAAACCTACATAGACACGGGGAGAACATGCAAACTCCACTCAGAAAGGCCCTGGTCAGACCAGGATTCGAACCCAGGACCTTCTTGAAATAAAACATTGATCTCAGCTAGTTAGCCTAATATATCCGTGACATGACCTTATAAACAGCATTAGCATAAACGTATAGTGTTAGCATATTATTTACAGTGTATGGTTAGCACATCATTAGCATATTATTTACAGTGTATGGTTAGCACATCATTAGCATATTATTTACAGTGTATGGTTAGCACATCATTAGCATATTATTTACAGTGTATGGTTAGCACATCATTAGCATATTATTTACAGTGTATGGTTAGCACATCATTAGCATATTATTTACAGTGTATGGTTAGCACATCATTAGCATATTATTTACAGTGTATGGTTAGCACATCATTAGCATATTATTTACAGTGTATGGTTAGCACATCATTAGCATATTATTTACAGTGTATGGTTAGCACATCATTAGCATATTATTTACAGTGTATGGTTAGCACATCATTAGCATATTATTTACAGTGTATGGTTAGCACATCATTAGCATATTATTTACAGTGTATGGTTAGCACATCATTAGCATATTATTTACAGTGTATGGTTAGCACATCATTAGCATATTATTTACAGTGTATGGTTAGCACATCATTAGCATATTATTTACAGTGTATGGTTAGCACATCATTAGCATATTATTTACAGTGTATGGTTAGCACATCATTAGCATATTATTTACAGTGTATGGTTAGCACATCATTAGCATATTATTTACAGTGTGTGGTTAGCACATCATTAGCATATTATTTACAGTGTATGGTTAGCACATCATTAGCATATTATTTACAGTGTATGGTTAGCACATCATTAGCATATTATTTACAGTGTATGGTTAGCACATCATTAGCATATTATTTACAGTGTATGGTTAGCACATCATTAGCATATTATTTACAGTGTATGGTTAGCACATCATTAGCATATTATTTACAGTGTGTGGTTAGCACATCATTAGCATATTATTTACAGTGTATGGTTAGCACATCATTAGCATATTATTTACAGTGTATGGTTAGCACATCATTAGCATATTATTTACAGTGTATGGTTAGCACATCATTAGCATATTATTTACAGTGTATGGTTAGCACATCATTAGCATATTATTTACAGTGTGTGGTTAGCACATCATTAGCATATTATTTACAGTGTATGGTTAGCACATCATTAGCATATTATTTACAGTGTATGGTTAGCACATCATTAGCATATTATTTACAGTGTATGGTTAGCACATCATTAGCATATTATTTACAGTGTATGGTTAGCACATCATTAGCATATTATTTACAGTGTATGGTTAGCACATCATTAGCATATTATTTACAGTGTATGGTTAGCACATCATTAGCATATTATTTACAGTGTATGGTTAGCACATCATTAGCATATTATTTACAGTGTATGGTTAGCACATCATTAGCATATTATTTACAGTGTATGGTTAGCACATCATTAGCATATTATTTACAGTGTATGGTTAGCACATCATTAGCATATTATTTACAGTGTATGGTTAGCACATCATTAGCATATTATTTACAGTGTATGGTTAGCACATCATTAGCATATTATTTACAGTGTATGGTTAGCACATCATTAGCATATTATTTACAGTGTATGGTTAGCACATCATTAGCATATTATTTACAGTGTATGGTTAGCACATCATTAGCATATTATTTACAGTGTATGGTTAGCACATCATTAGCATATTATTTACAGTGTATGGTTAGCACATCATTAGCATATTATTTACAGTGTATGGTTAGCACATCATTAGCATATTATTTACAGTGTATGGTTAGCACATCATTAGCATATTATTTACAGTGTATGGTTAGCACATCATTAGCATATTATTTACAGTGTATGGTTAGCACATCATTAGCATATTATTTACAGTGTATGGTTAGCACATCATTAGCATATTATTTACAGTGTATGGTTAGCACATCATTAGCATATTATTTACAGTGTATGGTTAGCACATCATTAGCATATTATTTACAGTGTATGGTTAGCACATCATTAGCATATTATTTACAGTGTATGGTTAGCACATCATTAGCATATTATTTACAGTGTATGGTTAGCACATCATTAGCATATTATTTACAGTGTATGGTTAGCACATCATTAGCATATTATTTACAGTGTATGGTTAGCACATCATTAGCATATTATTTACAGTGTATGGTTAGCACATCATTAGCATATTATTTACAGTGTATGGTTAGCACATCATTAGCATATTATTTACAGTGTATGGTTAGCACATCATTAGCATATTATTTACAGTGTATGGTTAGCACATCATTAGCATATTATTTACAGTGTATGGTTAGCACATCATTAGCATATTATTTACAGTGTATGGTTAGCACATCATTAGCATATTATTTACAGTGTATGGTTAGCACATCATTAGCATATTATTTACAGTGTATGGTTAGCACATCATTAGCATATTATTTACAGTGTATGGTTAGCACATCATTAGCATATTATTTACAGTGTATGGTTAGCACATCATTAGCATATTATTTACAGTGTATGGTTAGCACATCATTAGCATATTATTTACAGTGTATGGTTAGCACATCATTAGCATATTATTTACAGTGTATGGTTAGCACATCATTAGCATATTATTTACAGTGTATGGTTAGCACATCATTAGCATATTATTTACAGTGTATGGTTAGCACATCATTAGCATATTATTTACAGTGTATGGTTAGCACATCATTAGCATATTATTTACAGTGTATGGTTAGCACATCATTAGCATATTATTTACAGTGTATGGTTAGCACATCATTAGCATATTATTTACAGTGTATGGTTAGCACATCATTAGCATATTATTTACAGTGTATGGTTAGCACATCATTAGCATATTATTTACAGTGTATGGTTAGCACATCATTAGCATATTATTTACAGTGTATGGTTAGCACATCATTAGCATATTATTTACAGTGTATGGTTAGCACATCATTAGCATATTATTTACAGTGTATGGTTAGCACATCATTAGCATATTATTTACAGTGTATGGTTAGCACATCATTAGCATATTATTTACAGTGTATGGTTAGCACATCATTAGCATATTATTTACAGTGTATGGTTAGCACATCATTAGCATATTATTTACAGTGTATGGTTAGCACATCATTAGCATATTATTTACAGTGTATGGTTAGCACATCATTAGCATATTATTTACAGTGTATGGTTAGCACATCATTAGCATATTATTTACAGTGTATGGTTAGCACATCATTAGCATATTATTTACAGTGTATGGTTAGCACATCATTAGCATATTATTTACAGTGTATGGTTAGCACATCATTAGCATATTATTTACAGTGTATGGTTAGCACATCATTAGCATATTATTTACAGTGTATGGTTAGCACATCATTAGCATATTATTTACAGTGTATGGTTAGCACATCATTAGCATATTATTTACAGTGTATGGTTAGCACATCATTAGCATATTATTTACAGTGTATGGTTAGCACATCATTAGCATATTATTTACAGTGTATGGTTAGCACATCATTAGCATATTATTTACAGTGTATGGTTAGCACATCATTAGCATATTATTTACAGTGTGTGGTTAGCACATCATTAGCATATTATTTACAGTGTGTGGTTAGCACATCATTAGCATATTATTTACAGTGTGTGGTTAGCACATCATTAGCATATTATTTACAGTGTGTGGTTAGCACATCATTAGCATATTATTTACAGTGTGTGGTTAGCACATCATTAGCATATTATTTACAGTGTATGGTTAGCACATCATTAGCATATTATTTACAGTGTATGGTTAGCACATCATTAGCATATTATTTACAGTGTATGGTTAGCACATCATTAGCATATTATTTACAGTGTATGGTTAGCACATCATTAGCATATTATTTACAGTGTATGGTTAGCACATCATTAGCATATTATTTACAGTGTATGGTTAGCACATCATTAGCATATTATTTACAGTGTATGGTTAGCACATCATTAGCATATTATTTACAGTGTATGGTTAGCACATCATTAGCATATTATTTACAGTGTATGGTTAGCACATCATTAGCATATTATTTACAGTGTATGGTTAGCACATCATTAGCATATTATTTACAGTGTATGGTTAGCACATCATTAGCATATTATTTACAGTGTATGGTTAGCACATCATTAGCATATTATTTACAGTGTATGGTTAGCACATCATTAGCATATTATTTACAGTGTATGGTTAGCACATCATTAGCATATTATTTACAGTGTATGGTTAGCACATCATTAGCATATTATTTACAGTGTATGGTTAGCACATCATTAGCATATTATTTACAGTGTATGGTTAGCACATCATTAGCATATTATTTACAGTGTATGGTTAGCACATCATTAGCATATTATTTACAGTGTATGGTTAGCACATCATTAGCATATTATTTACAGTGTATGGTTAGCACATCATTAGCATATTATTTACAGTGTATGGTTAGCACATCATTAGCATATTATTTACAGTGTATGGTTAGCACATCATTAGCATATTATTTACAGTGTATGGTTAGCACATCATTAGCATATTATTTACAGTGTATGGTTAGCACATCATTAGCATATTATTTACAGTGTATGGTTAGCACATCATTAGCATATTATTTACAGTGTATGGTTAGCACATCATTAGCATATTATTTACAGTGTATGGTTAGCACATCATTAGCATATTATTTACAGTGTGTGGTTAGCACATCATTAGCATATTATTTACAGTGTGTGGTTAGCACATCATTAGCATATTATTTACAGTGTATGGTTAGCACATCATTAGCATATTATTTACAGTGTGTGGTTAGCACATCATTAGCATATTATTTACAGTGTATGGTTAGCACATCATTAGCATATTATTTACAGTGTATGGTTAGCACATCATTAGCATATTATTTACAGTGTATGGTTAGCACATCATTAGCATATTATTTACAGTGTATGGTTAGCACATCATTAGCATATTATTTACAGTGTATGGTTAGCACATCATTAGCATATTATTTACAGTGTATGGTTAGCACATCATTAGCATATTATTTACAGTGTATGGTTAGCACATCATTAGCATATTATTTACAGTGTATGGTTAGCACATCATTAGCATATTATTTACAGTGTATGGTTAGCACATCATTAGCATATTATTTACAGTGTATGGTTAGCACATCATTAGCATATTATTTACAGTGTATGGTTAGCACATCATTAGCATATTATTTACAGTGTATGGTTAGCACATCATTAGCATATTATTTACAGTGTATGGTTAGCACATCATTAGCATATTATTTACAGTGTATGGTTAGCACATCATTAGCATATTATTTACAGTGTATGGTTAGCACATCATTAGCATATTATTTACAGTGTATGGTTAGCACATCATTAGCATATTATTTACAGTGTATGGTTAGCACATCATTAGCATATTATTTACAGTGTATGGTTAGCACATCATTAGCATATTATTTACAGTGTATGGTTAGCACATCATTAGCATATTATTTACAGTGTATGGTTAGCACATCATTAGCATATTATTTACAGTGTATGGTTAGCACATCATTAGCATATTATTTACAGTGTATGGTTAGCACATCATTAGCATATTATTTACAGTGTATGGTTAGCACATCATTAGCATATTATTTACAGTGTATGGTTAGCACATCATTAGCATATTATTTACAGTGTATGGTTAGCACATCATTAGCATATTATTTACAGTGTATGGTTAGCACATCATTAGCATATTATTTACAGTGTATGGTTAGCACATCATTAGCATATTATTTACAGTGTATGGTTAGCACATCATTAGCATATTATTTACAGTGTATGGTTAGCACATCATTAGCATATTATTTACAGTGTATGGTTAGCACATCATTAGCATATTATTTACAGTGTATGGTTAGCACATCATTAGCATATTATTTACAGTGTATGGTTAGCACATCATTAGCATATTATTTACAGTGTATGGTTAGCACATCATTAGCATATTATTTACAGTGTATGGTTAGCACATCATTAGCATATTATTTACAGTGTATGGTTAGCACATCATTAGCATATTATTTACAGTGTATGGTTAGCACATCATTAGCATATTATTTACAGTGTATGGTTAGCACATCATTAGCATATTATTTACAGTGTATGGTTAGCACATCATTAGCATATTATTTACAGTGTATGGTTAGCACATCATTAGCATATTATTTACAGTGTATGGTTAGCACATCATTAGCATATTATTTACAGTGTATGGTTAGCACATCATTAGCATATTATTTACAGTGTATGGTTAGCACATCATTAGCATATTATTTACAGTGTATGGTTAGCACATCATTAGCATATTATTTACAGTGTATGGTTAGCACATCATTAGCATATTATTTACAGTGTATGGTTAGCACATCATTAGCATATTATTTACAGTGTGTGGTTAGCACATCATTAGCATATTATTTACAGTGTATGGTTAGCACATCATTAGCATATTATTTACAGTGTATGGTTAGCACATCATTAGCATATTATTTACAGTGTATGGTTAGCACATCATTAGCATATTATTTACAGTGTATGGTTAGCACATCATTAGCATATTATTTACAGTGTATGGTTAGCACATCATTAGCATATTATTTACAGTGTATGGTTAGCACATCATTAGCATATTATTTACAGTGTATGGTTAGCACATCATTAGCATATTATTTACAGTGTGTGGTTAGCACATCATTAGCATATTATTTACAGTGTATGGTTAGCACATCATTAGCATATTATTTACAGTGTATGGTTAGCACATCATTAGCATATTATTTACAGTGTATGGTTAGCACATCATTAGCATATTATTTACAGTGTGTGGTTAGCACATCATTAGCATATTATTTACAGTGTATGGTTAGCACATCATTAGCATATTATTTACAGTGTATGGTTAGCACATCATTAGCATATTATTTACAGTGTATGGTTAGCACATCATTAGCATATTATTTACAGTGTATGGTTAGCACATCATTAGCATATTAGCTTGTACCTTTGCCCTGGTTCTTGAGGAGGTTGTTTCCGATGCGTGCTAGCACTTTCCCCACGGGCTCGTCCTGATCGCGGAGCATGTGTTTGTGGCTCCCGTCCAGGCAGAAGGACACGGTGAGTTTGGGCTCCCCGGGGACACACCGCACCACGGCTGTCTGCATGGCGCCCTTCTGCGGCCCCGCGGAGCTCCGAGTCCCCGCTGTAGCGAAGAGGAGCGGCCGGTGAGAGCGGAGCACAGCAGCGGCGAGGCGACTCCACATCCAGAGCCGGAGCCAGACACGCTGATCCGGGGTTTACAGGCTCAAAAGGACCGTCCACACAGCGGGTCAGGTCATTGTTTATGGAGAGATGTTTTGGGAGTGGTGTGCGCATGCGTGAGCCGGCTGTCACGTGCAGGAAGGCAACACCACGTGGACAAACAAAGTGATTTCAGAAAGTAAGTTAAAGCTGGGGAACCTGACATTTTTATTTGTGAATAATACATTTGTCTTAAGAGTCTTGTAAAAGAAACATAATCAGACCACAACAGGCTGCTTTATCTTATTACAAAACATGTTACCTTTTGGACTTTTGCATTCTTCTAAGAAAGAGTCATGTGAGTCACTATTGGATTTGCTAAGGGCTGATGGGTGTGGTTGCAGTTGGTCCTCAAATTTGAATTTTTCTGTCTGGAAAAAGCTAATGTGACAGAGGTTTGAAAGATAGACTACAGCAGCTTTAACATACTAATATAGACAGTGGCAACACCCTGTGAGTTTGATAGATTGTCCACATACCTCTGAACGCTGTGTCCGACCAATCAGTGCAGTGGTGTGGCAACATGAGTATATGGAAACGGACAGATAAAAACATACATTAAAATGGTAACATTATACATGGTGCTAGTACTATAATTTGAATAAAAACAAGCAGGAGATGGACTTGTCCTTTGCTCCAAATAGTCAGGTTTGTAGAGATAAATGGCTGATCACATAAGAATGCATGGACCAAGGCCTATTCATTTTACCCAAACATAGTTTAAAAGTATTAAATTATGACATTGCATTGATAGATCCATCCTAGAATATAGTTGCGGATGCACATGATTAAAGAACAAAATTACAACTATATAATTTAATGTATTCATTTTATTACAAAGGTAAAAACAAGCAACAAGCTACATCATGGAGGTAGATCTTAGGCTAGTGAATTACAAAACTGTGCAAATAGTCTCTACAGCAGCCCTCTCCTGCTGCTTCAGCCTGGACTCCATGCAGCCATACGTGATCCCAGCTACAGCACATATTTCTGGGCCGAGCAGTGGAGGTGCTGGGGGCTCTTCCCGGGACTCTGCTGACAGCTCTGCTCACGCTCCTCCAGGTCTCTCAGATGCAGCAGCAGATGGAAGGCGTAGGCCAACACCAGCAGGAGGATCAGGGAGGACAGGAGGCCCATGAGGAGCGCCGGAGTCAGGAACGTCTCGCAGTCAACGGGACGAGAAAACACCCCAGAGGAGACGGAGAACGCTTGGATCTGGAACAGAGTCAGGAAGTAAGAGATCTAATCAGATTTCATCCCCATAGCACAATATTAACATCAGTGTTTGTACATAAGAAACACAGAGACACAAAACAACTCAACCTAATTTCTTTTTTTTCTTGTGATATTTCTTCAGAGTGGGATAATAGCTGTGTTGTGTGTGTTGACTGGATTTGCACAGAACTCTGATCTCAGGAGAAAATTATGAATGAATAACATCCTGTCTGCACTGACTTCTGCAGTAGTAGGTTTGCCTAAATTTCACAAGGATAAAAGTTTGGACAAATAATCTTAGAGTTTTACAGTCATAGCTTGAAAAACAAAATCACATACCTGCATAAGTCTTTCATGGATGGTAATAATTTCTGTAGCCACACTTGCCGTGGTAAAAAAATCTGCCTCTCTTTGTTAAAGTTTTACCATTGATAACTAGTAATTTACTTTGCAAACACAATTAGTTATACATTAATACCATGGATCGATAATAATAACGATTAATTTGAATCAACTAAAATGTACAATGAAGAGTGTGTGTGTCTCTCTGTGTGTGTGTGTGTGTGTGTGTGTGTGTGTGTATGTGTGTGTGTTTTTATTTACCTGGAAATGTGTGAAGGTGAGAGCCCAGTTGTGAGCGCGCCCCGTGGGGCTCAGGAGAGCGTTGTACTTCTGCAGGCTGCTGATGTGCTCACAGCTGAAGGAGGACGACTCGGGGCTGTAGATCTGAGACGAGTTAAACACCAGCTTCTGACTGGAGTTAAACTGCACACACACCGAGTCCAGAGAAAACCAGCCCTCCCCAGACGCTTCCACCTGAGAGCGCGACAGGAACAGGCTGCAGAGAGAGCAGAGCGTCATCAGAAGGTGGATCTGTCTATGACCGTCCTAGACTAGACCAAGGACGATCCAGGACATACAGTACAGACCAAAAGTTTGGACACACCTTCTCATTCATTTATTTTCATGATTATTAAAATTGAAGATTCACACTGAATTCCATCAACACTATGAATGAACTCATGTTGAATTATGTACGTACTAAAAAAAAAAGTATGAAACAACTGAAAATATGTCTTATATTCAAAGTAGCTCCTTTTGCACTGACACTGCTTCACTCTTGGCATTCTCTGGATGAGCTTCAAGAGGACCTGAAATGGTCTGAGTTCCCATGATGCTTAGCACTTGTTGGCCCCTTCACTCTGTGGTCCAGCCCCAAAACCATCTGGACTGGGTTCAGGTCCAAAACCACCTGGACTGGGTTCAGGTCCGGTGACTGTGGAGGTCATGTGGCCCAGCACCATCACTCTCCTTATTGGTCAAACAGCCCTTACACAGCCTGGTGCGGGTCTACAGTCAATAGTCATGAAAAGAAAGGACACTCAACTTTTGGTCTGTACTTATATTAGTTTTTACTTATGAACATTGATAATCCTGTTACCATATAGACCAATGGCTCCTTTGGGTTTCTCAGCATTACATTCTCCGTGTTCAAATGGTTTGATTCTCTAATCTGTAATTTTGAGACGATAGCGTTTGTGAATTAGGGCTGTATATGTAACTTTCAGGTTGGGGTCCAGTAGGTCCTGTTTTACCCTGTGTCCCCCCCTCGCTAATGTAGACAGGGCACGAGTACCCACTGTTGTTATAATAATAGTAATTTATTTCAGTCAGTCAAATTGTCAATACATTTCAACAGAAGAAGCATTGATATTAATTCACTGACTGAAAGGGTTTTGGTGCTAGTTAATAAATGTATTCAAAGCCTAACCCTCTTTAAATGTTAGGGGGAAAGGTGTGTGTCAGGTACCACAAGGGTCAGACTCATTCTGGTCCAGGGCCACAACTGTTTTTACTAAGATATCCATCGTTTACTTTAGAGAAAACCTTCTTAAGTGGAGTTTTAGACTTTTCTGAACAAATTGAGTTCATGTCAGACACCAGATATTACAGCAGCAGATGATGCAGCCATGAAAAGTGCAACATGAAAAGATGGAAGCGAGAAAATGTACACAGTGTGGCTTTATGCAAGACCCAAAATATTATATAGTATTCACACTTAAATGAAATGATTATATAATAGAAAAGCAAAAACAATTTAAAGCCATTTCTTGTCAAAATGACGTAGGTCTGCTATATAAATAATCTGGTTTTCTAAAAAAGAGAAAGAATCCGTC